TTTTTTTTTTTTTTTTTTATATATATATATATATGAGAAGAAAGAGAGAGAGAATGTGTTAACTTAGGTTCAGGAACAGGGCCACGCCCCAAACCACACCTCTAATTTCCCAAGTAGCTTATTTGCCTATTTGTACCCTGCTCGCCTATTCATCTGTCTGTTTCGTTTCATTAACGTTACGTTCGTCACTTCAGACTCGTAAAAAATTGGTTCATCAAGAATCTACTCACCATGGAAGATGCCCTAATACTTCAGCTCAACCCCCTCCGACTCGGACGACTTCTTCAACTCTCCATTTGCTGCAAAAACCTCCTCTTCTGACGTTTCGAGGCAAGCGTCGAGCTCCAAACGCTTGCGCTCCGTGATCTTCGATCCTCAAAGCCAGTTTCACTCTTCATCTCCAGCAGTTCTTCGTCCGACCAAGGTTCATCCCTCTCCTTCAATACCATCTCAACCCCGCGGTCGCGGACTGCGTCGTGGTGGTATTCGTCAAACTCGTTCTCCCGGACCTCAATGCCATTCCCGATCCTCTCAGCCTCAGAACGAAAACCCGTCTACATCTCAGCGGTCCTCTCAAGACCTCTCAACATAACTTCAGCTTCGTTCAACACGCCAACTTCTGAAATCCTGGACTGTCGCTCGCCTCCAACGCTCCTTGACTTTCCTTTCAACAAACAAACAATAAATTAAGACTTTTCCAATTGCTTACATCCTCAGGTCCTCAACAAACAGCATCACCGTCATCCGAACACCCCGGGCTTCCAGCTTTCTTTCCCTCTGCATCTACTTCCTCCCGTCACTTCCGGTGACGGCAGCGAAACCTCCTCGCGCACCGACAGCTCCCTCTCGTGGGAGCCAGGTCGTATTACCACCATTGGCTGCACCCTCTTTAGCAGATCTTTATCAGCTCCTATCTACCGCTATTTCATCTCTGTCCTCGCAGACTTCTCAAATTCCCCATGCTCATACATGCCTCCACCCCTCTTTTCTTCACGGTTCTCTCGTCCTCGATCGTTCCTGCAAGATGGAAATGCGTCTCTTGCATTATTTTTCTTTGATCTTGGAAAGGCATTTTTTTTCTTTTACGACTTTCTCACTCACCCCGACGACATTCAACTTTACACAGATGCAGCTCCTTCTATTGGTTTCGGATCTCGCTCCCCAGAAATCATGCAATTCATGCGCAGACTTGCCATAATTTCCACAGCCACTTGTATTATTTGCACATCACTCTGAGTCCATTGCAATGAAGCTGATTTACTGCTGTCTTTTGGCCGTTACCATCCATGGGTACCTTGCTGCAGCTCAGGGGAAACCTGAGAACTTTCCTCTGAAGCCACAGCCCAGACCTCAGCAGCCTCAGCAACCCCAGCAGTCTCAGAGGCCTCAGGTACCTCAGGTTTCAATGAACGCATGTGCTATTATGACAATATGTTAAGTGCTTTTCTCTTTCTTCCAAACTAAATGTTGAAAAGATACTCTGTTGTGACAAATTCAAACTATTTTTATTTTATTTTTTTTTTGCAGTGACTCTTTAGTGCACCAAGGATGGTCAATTCATCATAGTTGTGGCTAGAGATGCCACTCTACCCAACGTTGACTTGGAGTCGATCAGTTTCCTTGGAGGTGGTGCAAATTGTGCTCCTGTTGGTACAACCTCAGCTTAGGTCGTTTACCAATTCCCAGTGACTGCCTTTGGCACTGTCATGACGGCAATTTTTGGAGCTCATGCCGCTCTTCAATTTGCAATATGCGCATGTCAGCGTGTGCAAGTGTTTTTCATGTAAAGCATCTTTGAGGGTCCTGAAAAGCCCTATATTGTCTGATGTCATTTCATGTTTTTTTTATCTTGCCATTTTGCTGCAGGATGAACGGGGTGTTATAGTCTGAGAATGGAATGTCCTCTTCATATGAAGTTACTGTTGGACCTTATGGCGCTATTACCAGGGACAGTCAATACAAGTATGACATTTAATATATTTTTATTTAAATGATAAGCCAAATCTTGGACCAAAAGCCAACCACATGTTGGCAAAAATTCAAAAAATTTGGCAATTTCAAAATCCACTATTTGAAAATAACTGGCTTACCTTCACAAATGAAAATTTTCATTCAGCTTACACATTGAATTTTATTTTTTTCTTTCTAGGCTGTTTGTCCAGTGCAGATACATTGGCACTTCTGTTGAAGCTTTGGTCATTGAGGTTGGACCTGAACCTCTGCGAGTGGAGCTCAGGATTGGAAATGGAGTATGTGCTAGCAAAGGTTGTTTGGAAGACTAGTGGAAGGAACATGCTTTGCAAACTGGCTTATTTATAGCTATGACTGCCTTGGGTGTCAGTCAATTCGGCTATGTTTGTGCTGGTTTGTGCAGCAAAAATTTTCGTTTGCGCTGCTTTAGCTTTGAAGATATTAATAAAAGTGTAAAGGTCAAAAGGTCAGCCAGCCCCCCACTTTTACAAAATCAAACAAAATTGGTGTCAAGCGTTTGTGCAGCAAAATTTTTTGTTTGTACCAGTATCAAATCAGCACAAACATAGCTCAGTTGATTGACACCCATTTTGTCTGATTTGAAGAAGGTGGGGGGGCTGGTTGACCTTTGATGACCTCTAGAAACATTTCTTTATATCTTTAAAATGATAGCGGCACAAACTAAAATTTTTGCTGCACAAACGTAGCACAAACATTTGACACCAATTTTGTCTGATTTGAAGAAGGTGGGGCAGGAGGGCAACTTCACTCAGGTCCCTATGTCTATGTCTAACACTAATAAAGACAAGTTCTTGTTTAACCTACAACAATGACATAGCTATTTGTGATTTTTTTTTTTTTTTTTTTTTTTGGGGGGGGGGAATGTAAGAAAGCCTCTTTAAAAAAAAAAGACATGCCATTGCGTACACAATCATTGTGCTTGCTTACCTGATTAAACTGCGATTTTTTATTTTTTTTCTTCATCTTAGTAAGTTCATCAGTCAGTGCAGATAAAAACAAGTGCCTTCCATTGTCACTTCTAACGCTTGCAATGGGATTTGATAAAACATTTTATCTATTCTAGTTCTGCCTTTGTCTAACACTACACACTGCCTGTTTTCTCTTCGTAAAAAATGACTCGAAGGTTTGAGTTTCTTCCATCTCGGCCGCCTTCCTTGTTGGATGTCAGCATAGTTCCAGCTTCACGCAGCCAATGTTTTTTACGTACTGCGTGAAGCACTGGCGGTACATATTGAGTCTGTATTTACGGATCAAGCCATTACTGTTTGAACACATTGGGCAGGAGAGGGACCTCTGGCCCAATTTTCTCAGGGTACCGAAGAGCTGCTTGTCTCTTTTCGAGTGTCGGAAAGGACTACACTGCCCAAAAAGCCTTCAGGAAGCGAGAGACCTAACGTTTCTAGTGACGTATACATTACGTATTATCCCACTAACCAATGAGAACAATTCCAAGATTCTCCTTGAAGTGTGATTGGATGTTGATTACTAAGCTTCGGTTATAGACATTGCTGTTTGCTGCGCTTGCAAGGGTAATAAAAAGTAATTTGAATACATCATATTTAAAGCCGCCCAGCGCGTTTCATGCGGTTCAGGACATCCAGCTATGCTTGGCTCTTTCGGTTGAGCAGCTTTGTTGGTGAAAAGTGTGTGTCAGCGAGCCCATTGCGCTGCCTCATCAGACCGACATTTTACGGCGGTGTTCATTTACTCCTCACCCGGAAACCCACGATGCAGTCTGGTCGAAATGCGACCCATAGTAACTCCGGCGCGAATGATTTGGACAGAGCTGAGAAAACGGGACCAGGGCTCCGCAGCAGCAACATTTCCAGCCACACCCTTTCCCCGGAAGGCGTCTGCCCTTCGGGAGAGAGGATGCGAGTGGTGGCCTCGCTTTTGGCCAGTGAGAGACACCTGAGGACCCCGAGTCCTCAGGTAGATGACGACTCAGAAGCTGAGTCTTTTCGGGATGGCAGAAGCGAAGAGGTCGACCGAGATACAAAAAGCAGAGCGTTTTTGTGGTGCAGGGACTTTTTGTCTGGATCATGGAAAACTGTTCAAGAAGCGGATTTTCAAATTAGTATTGTCAGGTAATTATTGACAGTTATCTGTAAAAGGTGGGATAAATTAGTAGAAACATTTTTGTAATGTTTGCTAAAATGAAGGGAACACAATATTCCTAACTTCTTTTGTATTTTTGTTTTATAATTTGATTTCTTTCCACTTCCAATATTGTACCAATCAGCAGTGTCATCGTGTTGCAATGGCTCTTTGAATTTTTAGTAAAAAGGGACATTGGAGACAACGGGTTTGGTTTCTACCCTTTCGAATAACAAGTGCCACAAAGTGTTTGGGATAACTTGGTGATGTTCTCTTTATATCGCTGTGGATAACTTTTGGATAACTCTTTGCCAAATTGTTTTAATTCAGCCACATCACAGGGTTTTTGAGTACGAGCATCCTGTTTATGGACTTTGACTATCCCACCAGCCATCCCTTACTGCTTTGAGCCAACATCATGGGCGGTTCTACAAAGGCCATTATAGGGGCCAGTGTCCCTGTTTTCTGTTAACATGAATGCACAATGAGCATACATGATACAGGATTGGATCTAACCTTACCAGAAGGCGGTGCTGCACCCTGCAGTAGTGTGTGCTGCCCTGCGGATACAGTTTAAATGGTCTCTGTGATGTTATGGGTAATTACGGTGCAGTCCATTCCATAGCTGAGCAAGGCAGAAACACAAACAGTGTAACTTGGAGCTAGTGCTGTGTCATTTGTGAATCAGCCATAGGGAACATGCTGCTGAGAGGAGCTGCACAGTGTGTGCCAGCTAACTGGACAGAGCCAACAATGTAGACAATGTTAGCAAATTTATGACTAGTTAATCCATGCTAACTTGCCATGATAGCTAATCAGCTTGTTAAAGTATCATTAGTATTCTAGTTAACAAGAATACTAATGTTACCTAGGTTACATCCCCTGCTGGTTAGTTAATCCTAGGAATAAACTCGATCCTCTCTCATTTCTGTACAGAAGTTGTGCTCGCTATTGTTTCCACAAATTTAAAAGAAATCTTTATTGCCACAGTAGAGAGAGAAAGGTCAGGGAGGAGACAGACCAGAGGCCTGCAGCAGGGACAGTGATGCAGGGTCTTCCTTTCAGGTAAGAGAGATTAGTGATGGGTCATGCTCAAAAGCATCCAAAAGAACTGGCTTTCTGAAAAGAGCCAGACTTTCCATCACTAAGAGAGAATATAACTTGCTGGGGAAAAGATATCAGTTGCAGGGAGAAATCATGCATCAGGACAGGGTTTTATAGAAACTCCAAAATATGTTAGCATGTAACTATCCCCGGCTCCAGAGAAGTTTAGCTTCTTTTTTTTTCTTTTCTTCTTTTTATTTCTCCTTGTTGCATTTCCACAGCATGCTCCGCCCTGGGGAGAAAATCATATTCAGCATATCAGGAAGTGTTTTTTTGTCAGGCAAACTTTTGACAATCTTTATGAACATTCTGTGCAGTAAATTATGTAACCTCTAATATAAAAATTGTCTTTGTTTTCTTAGTGGTGGACTGAGTAATCTACTGTACCTATGTACCTTGCCTGACCATGTCCCATGTTTGGGGGAAGAACCCCGGCAGGTGCTGCTGAGAGTCTACGGTGCCATCTTGCAGGTTGGTAGGCTTAGTAGAGGTCATCAAGAATCTGTGTTTGGCCATGAGACGGCCTCACTGCTAATATTTGTTAATGCTCTAGTTCTTGCTTTGTAAGAATAAAATAAGCATATCCTAATCGATTTTTTTTTTTTTCCCACTCAGGGTGTGGATTCTCTGGTACTGGAAAGTGTGATGTTTGCTATTTTGGCAGAGCGAACTTTGGGGCCAAAGCTTTATGGTATCTTTCCAGAAGGACGTTTGGAGCAGTACTTACCTGTGCGCAACATTTTTAGTCCAAATGCTCTTTCTGATTCTCCGGACAATATCTGTTTGATTGTTAGTTATTTTCTGAGTCTCTCTGTCTTTTCCTAGAACACCCGCATGCTCACAGAGCAGCTCTCAGACCCGATCATTTCATCCGAGATCGCCACCAAACTGGCACGCTTTCATGGCATGGTAATGCCCTTTAACAAAGAGCCCAAGTGGCTGTTCGGGACCATTGACAAGTAAGAACAAGACAGAGTCCTACTTTTCTTTCTGGACAGTTAATGTATTATATTTACATGGATTTGTTGTCCTCTCTGCTGTTTTTAAAGATACATGGATGAAGTGATGAAGATTAATTTTGTGCGTGAAACACATGTGAAAAAGTACAATAAACTGATGCAGTTTGATCTGCCTGCTGAGCTAAAGAGTCTCCGGTGAGTCTGGCCATATGGTATTAACTTAAAGTTTTAGCAAAATATTTTGCGGCATATACTTTAAAGACAATGTAGATCCTTATAAAACTCATTAAATCATTTTTACTAAAGAAAAGTGTCCCAGCGCACAGACTGACACACATGTAATACTCTAAGTAAAGCTTACCCTTTATCAAGTAGGCTACATCACTAGTTATGGTACGCAACACAGCTAAACAGAACAAAATAATTGCTTCTTATCCTATTTTCAAACAAATGTGGCATCGACTTACACTCAAAAGCAGGGAAAAAAGTTCCAATTGCAAAAGTAATTAATTTCAGTTAAGATTATTTACATAGCACCTATTCACAGTACATAATCTCTTGGCACTTTACAGAAATGTCATTTTAGAAATGTAATTTCAGTCCATTCCAATCTTAAGAGACATTCCAGATCATCCTAGTTATCAAGCCATTAAGTTCATTATTCATATTGGGTGAAGTTTTCTATCAAAGGAAATCCAGATTGTATCGTTACTTTTCCACTTTTCCTTTTCTTTTCCACTTTTCCTTTTCTTTTCCACTTGGTGTGACATAACGATACAGTATCATCCATCCCTACATTTCAGTTGGGATGCAGACTATAAATGTGTGTATGTTTATACATTTGGTTCTTATTAATTCATTCATATTTGTATTGGAGAGTTAGGGGTACAGTGACTTGTGTCTCCTTCACAATTCCTCACATGTGTCAGTAATGATAGTAGTGAAAGATTGATATGTTCACTTCCCTCTCACCGCCTGTGTGTGGACGCATCAGTAGCTTGAGCTTGTTTAAGATGAATGAGGCACAGCAAGACATTTACTGCACAGAGATGAAAGATTTGATAGTTTAACGTTACTTCATTATTAGAAATAGAAGTTACCTTTACTATCTCCCAGTGGGGAAATTCAGGTGTTGCAGTAGCAAAGTGACAGACCAGCTGAAGCAAGCAGATTCACACCAGGATGGAAATATAAAAACAGAAAGTAAGACAAAAAAAAATGTATGTAAAAAAAATTATATTCAGATTGAAAGAAATGTTGTGGAGTAGGATAATTTATTTGTGTATGAGAAACGGCAGCAAACTATTTACAAGAAAGTGAAAAAGCTGCAAGTGACAGCAGAGATGTACATACTAGGCTTGCTGGATATAAAGTAACAGCTGGTGGGAGAAGGCTCTACACTAACACTTCTTTGTGCGGAAAACACAAGTCTAAATGTTCTTTGTTCTCAGACCAGTTAACGACCTTTGAACCTCTATTTCCACGACTTCACTTCTGATTCCTCCTCATAGTTCGAAAGTCCGAACCAGAGCAGGAACAGGCCACTGTTTATCTGTTTTGTGTTGATGTGAAAACAGATGTTATCTTGTAGATATCTCTGCGTCTTCCTTTGAAGCAGGATTAGTACGAGATTTATTGTAACCCATTTAAATCTGCTCTGTCAGCTGTTCTTATCTTATCTCAGATGGATTAATTTCATAAGTCTTTTGACACTTGCACAGAAGACTTATGGGGATGTTTTGTTTTTCCTGTAGCTTTTCTTTGTGTTGTTTATAGTATTTTAGTGTTTGCTTTTATTTTTCAAGTCAATTCTGTGAATTATGCAATGTTAAGGAAAAGTACATCAGACTATATAATGTGTTTGATAAAGAACTGGAGAAAAATACAGAAGTAATGCACTCTCCACTTCAAAAGTGTTTTTTTATTATTATTATTATTATTATTATTTTTTCTTTTACAGCATCAAAGCATAAATGATACGAGAATGTGAGCCAAAATTGATATCCTATGTTATGGCTGATACATATACTTACCAATATTTTATATGTACATTTTACTAGAAAACGACCACATTGCTCACTTCACCATCGTTTCTCTGCTTCAGTTAAACGTCCCACAATCCTGCACTGCATCACTGTCACTTGACCAACCTCTCCTCCTCCCGCTCCAGAGGAGGAGAGGTTATTTCCAGCATTAAGATGGAAAAAAATACTGGTTCTTAAAATCGGCGTCATTTTACTTATTGCATCTATACTGACATGTTAAAAAGCTGCTAATATTGGGCTGATATCGGCGTTGGTGCCAATTCCTTGTTGATAACATTTTCTTTGTGTCCATTTTCTAAATATTTGAGTTTAATTTTGTGGCAATATCTGCATATGCAACACTGATGCATTTACTGTGCTTCTTTTCCTGTTTAATGTGTTTATTGTCTTTTCCGGTTCTCTGGCTGTTTCATTAACAGTTCTTTGCTGGCAGCGACTCCATCACCAGTGGTGTTTTGTCATAATGATGTCCAAGAAGGTAAAAATGCAACTATTTTGTCTGTGGAAGTTTCCCATACATTAATGTTTTTTTCTCCAGCCACACTTTCAACCCTGATAGCAATATTAATATTAAACCTGATGTCAGCTGAAGCAGAAAGTGTTTCCTTGAACTGTGTATCATGATTGTTTTCTTCTTGTTTGACTCTTGCAGGAAACATCCTTATCCTGGAGGACAGGGACCACACATTGACAGAAAAACTGATGCTGATTGACTTTGAATATAGCAGTTACAATTACAGGTAAAATGAGCACTTCAGTTATAAATTCATTGGAAACACAAGACTTGGGTCGAGTAAGCTCTAAAGAAGCCCTTTTGTTCAGAAATGTCTAATTTGGACTCGCATGTAACAATGCTAACGTGATAATTTTTCATTTTTTGAAGGGGTTTTGACTTTGGGAACCATTTCTGCGAGTGGACGTATGATTACACGTGGAATGAGTGGCCGTTTTACAAAGTCACACCTGAGAACTATCCGACCAGAGAGCAGCAGGTCAGTCAAAGTCATGGCAATGAGGAAGACTGTTCATCTTAACCATGTAAATTAGAGATGATGTCTGGTGACGTTCTATATACTAATGACTGTAAAACACAGTTTAACTGAGTGGTAGGTGATATTACAACAAAAAAACTCAATATATTATTCACTTCGATAACAAAATCACAGACAATGTTACAAATTTTCTGTTTTCTTTTTTTTTTTCTCTAAATTTTTAAATGGATATGGCCAATTAATTGTGTAACTTGATTTAATTTCTCTTTTGAACTATTAAATTTTCCTTTGGGATCAATAAAGTATTTTTGTAATTGAATTTGAGCTTCAAAACGTTTTTTTAAATTTTTTTTTTTGTTTTTTTTTTTTCTAAGCCTTCAGCAACAATTTGACTCTTAATCAAATTAACTTTTTTTAAATCATTGATCACTGCAATGGGTAATTTTAAACTCGGAGGATATGCAACACTTTACACATTTAAATTCACCCTATAAGGTTACGCCCCAGCAGATGCTGTGCTTGTTGTAGAGTGACATCTAGTGGTAAAAACGTGGTAATTGAATAGAGATCATGAGAGATTCAAATAAATGAAGCGTTTCAGTAAAATTCAGTCAGTGTGCCAACTATAAATTATTTCTTGTAGATTTTTTTAACATGCAAAACCAAAACTTTCTTTTTTACTATCGTTTCAGCTTCACTTCATCAGAAGTTATTTGGCTGAGCAAAGTCGACACACTAAGAGTGACCTGGATCAGACACAAGTTGAAGAGGATATGATAATTGAAGCAAACAGGTGACACTTTTAGAAATGCTTCACTGCAACGAGGATATTCTTTTATTCAAGCGTCTGAAGAATCTGCACACTGCTAAACCTGTGCTGTCTTTATAATTTACTGTAGATATGCATTAGCATCGCATTTCCTCTGGGGACTGTGGTCCATCATTCAGGCCAAGTTATCCAAGATTGAGTTTGGCTATATGGTAAGGCTTTGTTTTGGTTTTTCAGCACATGAACTTAATTTGCTTTAGCTATCTTTTTAAACAATGGTTTCTGTTTTTAACTTTTTGGTTTAGAAATATTTGAGAAATCAAGAATCTAATTGCAAATTAATTTTGTTGAAAGAAAAGTTAGGTTTCATTTAAATTAACGACCAATGTGATTCTTGATTATTCAAATATTTTAAATAATATAGTTGTATGCAGCATTTACTGGTTAAGTGTAGTAATTTGCTTAAATCCCTACCAGTAGATGCTATTCATATTGTAGCCACAGTGTGCATAATTGCACATGATGCATACCTTATTTAACTTCATGTTTTTAATTTTTGTAAATATTTCAGAATGATTAGGATCCGTACTTTGAAACTGCAAGTGCAGGACAAGAAACGGTGAAGAAATATTTAGGCTTTTTCATTGAGAATTTTTGTTGTTGTTTTCTAATCCACATTTTCATTAGTTTTTGTGTCTGTAAATGCAGCTTATTTCCTTGAAAATCCACAGTAAGAATGTTGACACAACTTTAATTGAAAAGATCAATCGCATAAATCATATGAAAATTGTTATATGAATCAATTACATTCTTTTATTGAAGATACTTGAAGTATTTATATAAAGCTGATGCCACCTGTCCTCAAAAGGATATTCTTATTTTTGAGATTATAAATTATTTTCCTTTCATTTGACATGTCTTTATCATTTGAATTAAAGTCCTTACAGAAAGATATAAAAAGGGCTAGTGTTTTCCTTCTCCATTATCATCAAAAATTCTACATTTTCCATTGCATTTGGTTACTTTTATGAAGTTCAAGTGAGACATTTAAATTTTGTTGTCTTATACATTTTAATAACGTTTTTGCCAATGTCTTTTTTTTTTTGCAGGATTATGCTCAGAGCCGTTTTGATGCCTACTTCAAGCAGAAAAAGCTCTTCTCCTAAATTCCTCCATCTGAAAATCAGAATGTACTGTCTTTTTCCGTGTTTACCACCTCTCCAGCTCTGCTAATGGCTATGCAAAGATTTTTTTTTATACTATCTTTAATTTGTCTGATTATAATTTGTGAGTGTAAAAACAAGAATGTAAAAAGATGTTTTGAGAAAATGCACACATTCAATTTGTTTAACACTTTTATATGAAGAGTTATGAGTTGATAACCACTCGGTATATTTTTGGCTATTTAACTCTTAAGTTAACCAGTTCTGGACCACTTTGTGACATTCATGCATGTTTAATCTTTTGTCTTGCCAGAGAATTATTGTCTTCACGTTGGACTGTACATTTCATAATTTTAGTAAATGAGTCCAAACTACAAAGCTTTTTTGGAATAGAACCCTTGTTTGTAACCCATTAATGTTGTTGTTTTTTTGTTTCTTTTTATTTATTCTACTTCAGTTGTTTTGATGTTCTCTCTACATTAGGATGTATATACTCCTAATGGTGAATGTGATTAATTCCATCCCTTTGTATCAAAACTGATTTCCTTGAGACTTACCTGCTCCATGTTATCTTTTTTGAAAAAAAAAAAAAATTCTCTAGATATTCTTCAGTACTGTATAAAATTTAAATCATACTCGTATTAAACACTGTATCACAGTAGTCATTGATACTGTTCATGTAACCATGGAAGTAATCGTACGGTTTATGTTGTTAATTTATTTTATTTTTTACTTTTACTCGGTTGTTTTGGGGATATTTTTTTTTTTATTTTTTTTTTTTTTTTTTTTGCCCCAACATTTTTTTCCAGTTACTAACTGATTGCTTCTGCTTCACCTGTTTAACCTTTCTGTCTGCTCATGTACAATATTCATGCTCATTATTGCGTTCATGACTGTAATGATTAGTTAATTGTACAACAAGCACTGAAATGTAAGGTTGTGTGTTATTTGATTTCAAAAGATGGTTTTTACCTTGTCTAGAGACTTTGTTTATATTGTCTCTACAAATATGTTATTTATTTAAATGCTTGATGTAATTTTTGTAAAAAAGGGTCTCAATTTTTAATCAAAAACCTTTTTTCTGTTACATCATTCTATGACTACTTGCATATGTTTGGATGTTTCTTTTTTTTTTTTTTTTCCCCCCCAAACAAGACAAATCCTAAACTTATTAAACTTGTCCTCGGAGTCCAAATGGCTGCTTGTCTGAGTTTTGTTTCTTAATCACCATGATGGAATCTTCCTTTAAATTGCAAAGTACAGATCAAGTTTTCCAAATTAGAATATCATTTATTTTAATAATTTTATTAAATTGAAAGTAGTATATAGTTTCATTACATAGAGTGGAATATTTGTTTGCTCCTGTTGCTAATGTAAATTCAGGCTCTTAGAAAGTTTTAATACATAAACAAGAATTTTTTTTTCTTTATGCATAAATGTGGTCCTGGTGGAAAAATATGTTAATCTATTTTACAGTATGCACACTCAATACTTTGTCATGACTTTTTGCATGATCAACTGGCACAGAGATGATTAATCTATTGCCGTAATGAGATGTTAAGAAAGTTCTGGTGGCTTTAATTTTTAATATAAATATAAAGTGCCGGAGTGTTTATCAGCGCTTATACAGGTTTTACTCTTTAAATGAATTTGTGAAATTTCTAATTTCTTGAAATGCACCTGTATTTTGAGACCCCAGTGAAGACATGAGGGCAGTCTGGGTCCCTGACACTTGCTCCGCCTACGAGATCTAAGAATAGACCCACCAACATGGACTGCTCTGCTCAAAGATCGAGAGACTCCCCGGTAACATTTTGATCCAGTAAAGAATGAAAAGATTTGCTCCAGAGGATTTTTTTTGTATCTGTGTTTATTCTGTTTGTGTATATGCTCTTGAATACTTTAATGACTTTGGTGTTGTCTTTTGGAGAAATCAAGCTGACGACCACCATGCATCGAGTTTTCCCCTCCCATTGGACTGTGGTTTTCTTGGACGTGCTAAACTGAGTTAATGATTCTGGATGCTTGAATTATTTATTTTAAGCTGCATTTGATCACTGAATCAATTTCCCAAACTTTAGATGAATGGAACACTCTCAGTATGATTAATGCAATCGGAAAGTGTTTCATAATGCTCGTCGAATGCTTGATCTTGTGGTTGAAACAAGGAATTAAAAGGCTGTTGGGTGCTAATTCAGTCGTAAACAACTGGATAGCATCCACCCAAATCCCTCCTAGAAGATTATATCAAGCAGACTCAGAGTGGGAAACCAATGAGGCCCTCCGCACATATCCCCTAGGAGACAGAAATGGAGCCAAGGTTACGATCCAAACGAGCACACATGCCTTTCATGTGAGTACATATAAGTTTATAAGTTTCCAAACTAGTTAATACAAATCCAGCTTAATCATTAATTTCACGAAGGTGGACCTCCAAAGGCTTTCAGAGTGCAGCGAGTACTTCAGAGCTTTGTCCCAGTCCAGCATGAGAGAAACCTCAGAGAGCCACATTCATCTGGATCACGTGTCCTCCTCCATTTTCCACAATCTCCTTGAGTTCTGCTTCAATCATGATTTTAATGTTCCCCAAGAAGAACTGGGGGTACACATCCAGGTATCCAGTCAAACATGAAGCCTTCTTGGTCAATATTAGGTTGTGTAAGGCTAAATCCAGTCACTGTCTGGTCTTTTCTGCTCCTCAGGTGGGCAGCTATCTTCTGGCTGAAGCCTTCGTCTCGAGGTGCCTGTTAGCCCTGGAACATGAACTCAGTCCATCTAACTGGTTATCATACTTGAGTCTGGCTCAGGAAATTTGCTGTCTAGAGCTGAAAAACACGGTGTTCGTTTATTTGAGCCGGAACCTTCTGGAGCTGCAACACGTGATCAGGTGTGTGAAGTTACAATCCGCTGGTTTACTAAAACCTCTGAAATAACTGAGACAGAGTCATATGTCAGGTATCTGCGCCATGAGGAGAGGGAGGAAGTCATCAACCTGAGAGCAAAAGGAGAACTGTGCCTGTGCAGCCTCAGGAAAGAAAACCTGACTTCCTGGAACGACCCGGAGACAGAACGTGCCCGGAACATTTTCACCATGAAATTTTCAGAGGACAGTGAGGGCTGGCACTCAGTCACAGAGCTTCCCTTCAGGGCCGATAAGTGGTGTTTTACCATCGTAGTGCTGTACAACTACCTGTATGTCATAGGAGGCTACAGGCAGCGCAGGAAGAGAGGCTGGGAGTTCACTATGGCTTCCTTTAGGTATAATCCCTTTAACAATTCGTGGGTGGCTACATCACCTCTGATAAAGGTATAAAAGGCCTTGAGCTCAATAATATAACTGGTTATTTTGTCCAAAGTAAATTTTTTTCCCCTTTATTTTTTATAATTAAACCAATTTATCAATGTTTTCTGTTTTACAGCACAGAAGGCACTTCAGTGCAGTGGCCTGTGAAGGCTTTATTTATGCGTTTGGAGGCTGGTATTTGGATTCTCTGGTGTCTCCAGACTCCAGTACAGCTCTGTACACAGCAGTGGAGCGATACGATCCATGGGAGGATGCATGGAGGTTTGGACTCTTATAAAACAGCTACCAGGGATGCGTGGTAGCCCAGACACAAGCTCACTGCCACACATGACGGATAATTTCACAAGATTCGACACAAGACAGACATTTAGTGTATAGTTTTGAATTTAATGCTGATTTTCTGTCCACACAGGCTGAGTATTATGCTGTACATACAGAATCAAATACTAACTAAATGTCTTCAAATTATGTCCATGATTTGTGTGCATAATTTCTGCCTTAGGTTTGTATCCCCATTACCACTCACTGACTTCCAGTTCACCGTGTCGTTATCCCATGACGTCCCCCTCACTGCCAGCCTTGGAGAGTGTATCTATGTGCTGGGGAGCATCCAGAGGACAGGAGAGAAATTATTGCTGCAGTACAACACAAAGCAAGGTGCATTAAATAAAAACAAAACTTTTCTACATTATGCTTGTCCTCTTCTAACTCCTCTGTATGTTGTTGTTTGCAAAATGCCATTGTTTATGCCTGGTACACATCCACAGTCCAAAAGAGTCGTCTGACATCTGTACTGCCTCTATCTCCTAGATTCATGGTCTGAACTGCTTCCCACCTTGACAAGAGCTGATGTGGACCTTCCTACTCTGTACTTCCTGGGCGCTGCTGACGAGCTGCTTGTGATTGGTGGGAACAACTCAGGGAATGTGGTGACATCATTCCATGTAAAATCAAAGAGATGGGGGAAGGTAAATATTCTTAGGACTGATCTAATTTCTTGAAGAGAGTCAGCGAAGCGGAGATATGCTTCAGTGTGTTATTCTTTCTTCCCTCCAGATCCACAGAACAGAAAGAGTGTCATATGCTGGACAGGGGACACTTGTAGGTGACCAGCTTCTGATGTCCAGTATTGACCACAACACTGTTGTGAGGCTGGATCTCTCAACCCTAACCTTTAGGAGGCTCCCACCTTTACTTGTCCCCATGCGCTATGAGGCTATCTTTTACCTTTACTTTTAATGTTATAGCTCACTGGTTTACCTAATATATACCTTTGTTTATGGAAGAATAAAAGGTCATTTTAAATTATTTAAATATTTTACTTTATTTCAAAATCACCTTGGCACTCAATGGGTGTGTTCACACTGAAGCCTGAAATGACCCAATTCAGATTTTTTGGCAATTCCGATTTTTTTTGCCGGGGCCGTTCACACTGCCAGTAAATGCGACCTGTATGCGTTCTGCAGTGTGAACGGGCAAACGACCTGAAAGTGTCCTGCATGCGCAGTAGAGGGCGCAATAGCGTCAGCGTTCTCAGTGTTCTGCCAACTGCCATAAAAAAAGAAGTGCTCAGAAGTAAACATGGAGGCTAACGGTGGAGCTTAGCTTACATATTTGAAGTTGTTGTCCGGCCGGAGCAGCATATTAACAACTTAATCCTCATTATAGTCCCTCATGGTTGTTGTTTTTCTTCCTGTTTGCGTGTATCAGGACGCAGAATAGTGAGATTTCTTGAGAAACAGTGACGTTCAGTTCGGATGAATGTGACCTGAACATACGTATCGGATATGGGTCACATTCGAAAAAGAATCCAACCTGTGCTGTTCACACTGCCATGAAAAGGTCGGATACAGGTCACGTAAAAAAAATCGGAATTGGGTCACTTCAGGGTGCAGTGTGAACGCACCCAATGTTTCTTGGTGATTTTTTTTAAAGGTTTTTGTAGTATTAGTGGCCTTTATTTGCAATTTTTAGGCAGAAAATTAGCAGAAAGGAGGGGAGAAATGCAACAAAGGTCCCAGAACTCAAAATCCTGGCCAGCTGTGATAAGGACTAATATTCTCAGAATATCAGTCTGAGAATATTATCCACCTTGTTCTTATAATGCTGATACCATTATCCCCTTGGTGCTTTCTTATCTCTCTAAAATATTTAGTTGTTTTCTTTTGGATTTGTTGGGATCTATTCTCTTTTAAGACGTTTCTGATGAAACAGAGATTATCCACACGCTTCAACAGCTCATCGCTTTGGTTGTTGGTCCTTAATCAGTCTACGTCATAGTTAATTTGTTTGAATTTATTTTAAAAATAAATACAAATAGTAGCATGCTGGAGCACCCCAATATGCAGCCAGTGATACCTGTAGGCTACAACGGTCTAAGAATTATGGTGGTAGGAGAAGATGGAGTCAAAACCTTTATCACAGTCTGGGAAGGGTTGTTTTTTCAGAATGCAGTTTGTCATAATGCTAGGGTAACTGTATGCTATTTCTAAACCATCTCCACTCAGTAACATGATATAATGTTGGTGAACTGTTCATTAAAGGCAACTAGTAGCCAACTGCTTGCTTTCTGATATATTAAGATCAAGACATCGCAATGTACTAATTTATGTTTTTTTTGTGTTTCCCAGTGTCTCATGTTTCATATTTGTATTTGGAACGGTAAAATTTCTCTGAATCAAGATAGTGGGCTAAAACTAATTTCAAGCATCTTTTTTTTTTTCCCATTTAGCAAAGTTGTCCAAGCCCTGTTAAGTATCTTTTAAAACAGTGCCTCTGAAATCAGCATAATGTGGTATTACAGCCAATGTGATCTCTAACCACAGTGGCCAAGATTTTATGACGGACCTCCGTTATGGGAGACATCAAAATTAAGCGGCGTTTTCCAAGCAACCACCTTACTAGAATTCAAATGAAAACATACAGAAATAAGTAAGAAGTGGAGAAAATCGAAATTATCCCCCAGAATCTTCAAGATTTGAAGACAGTTTGTCCTGAGAATTGGCTAAAAATCACACTTCATAGTCTCTAGAAGAGATTTCAGAGCTCCTCTGCTAAGTAATACATTTCACTAAGCATGCTCATTCCACTTCATTACGCATAACCTTATTTATAGACATTCTGTTTTGATTTCTTTAAATGGGTTGTTATCACAATTATTGTAAATTTAATGTCGACCAGGCCACATGCAATGTCCGTAATATCCAAATTAACAACTTTGCTGAGTCAAATAATCTTTTATTGGTAAATTAGGTGAAATGTCACAAGGATCACATTCAGTTACATGGCAGGGAGCTCAGAGAACACCAGGTCAGGCGATGTCTATGTTTGGTGTCTGGTTACAAAGAGAGGCATGTTGTGGGTGAGAGAGGACAGGGAGAAACACAGGAAGCAGTGACTATGTTCACTACCTGAGTAAAGCCACGTCAAGGACACAGAACGCACAAGTTTCAGTACAGAAGAAACCCACTGGCTCTGGGCTGCATACCAAAGTCACTGATTACCGGCTTTCCATTCACCTGTGTGTGTGTGTAACCATCTGCCTGGTCTGAGGAAGGTAAAGTACACTCCTGATCTTTATGATTCTTTTACTCTGACATCTGGGACACAAATTTCATGTTTTATGAAAATGACAAAGTGCTGACCTGTTTAGCTGTGTTGCTTGTTTTCTAAGTGAAGAATCTATTACAAACTGGTGGAAAATTGAAATGACAAAGTAAAATATGAATATTTTTACAGTTTGTATGAAACTAATGACTTGTGCAACTTGCTTCAATGAGATGAACTTAAAATTAGCAGGGAATCTGGACATTTTTACCGTCCCTTGTTGGTTCTACTCTGTGTTTATATTTCCATTCCTATCTGAGTCGTTCTGCACATGCTCTGCTGATGTACCACTATATCTGGCCATTGAACTTTGTCCCAGTTGGGGATAGTTTGGTCATGTGACATGGAAAAAGGCATACCAGACCTACCATTAAAACACAATATGCAGGGATGTGGAAGTCCAAATATTTCTGTTTAAGACTTCTGAGGTACCTGACATTTAGAAGTCGGTAATTTTAACTTAGTATGTATTTATTTATTTTACTAATACAGACATCTGCACCTCACCTCCTCCCACTTTTCAAATTTTGCTTGTATAAAGGCACGAGTGCCAAACCAGTTTTTTTTCCTATTTTTTATTTCCACAAAACAGAACAGTAAAAGAACCATAACTTGTTTCGTAAGTGGAAAATGTGAATTCGAAGAAGCTCAAAAAGGTGGTAAAAAAATACCCTTAATATTCAACACCCTGCACAATTACTAGCACCACAAGTAAAAGGTGGTGCAGTTCAGATACTTTTTACCTTTTACCTAAAAAGTAAAAGGTAAATGTAACCTTTATGTTGAGTCCATGTATTAATCATGGAAAAAAAAAATCCCAACTTAAAATAATAGTATAACAAAATCAGATAGATTAATCACACTTAGTAATGCCAATATCAATTACCGGTACTATTACATAAGTTAAGCCTTTTAAAAATTTCTTAAACATTTTTTTTTAATTTAAATTTAATCCATGCATTCTTGTTTCCCCTTGATTTATTTATAACATGACAGAGATGCTGTTGAAAATAGGACATGAGAACTTGCCATTTAAGTGAAAAATATATATTTATTTATATACATATAAAGCTAAAGCAACAATTTGAAAGTGTAAAACAACTGGAACTGTGTCCAAGAGGTAAAAACCAAATGTATAAAATTGATACATCCTCACAGCACACTGTTGAAGAACTGCCGCACAGAATGTCATCGTTAGCTTGGTCTCCACAACAACCATTTATTTTCAAATTAGTTGAAACAGTTGCTAAAGCGAATGAAAACATTACATAGTGTAACATTTAGAAAGGTAACATGACATTTCAAATCAAATGAGATAAGGTTCTTCATTATTTCTAATGTGGCGCCGACATAACTGTAAAACATTTGCTTGTACTACAGTGCTAATGCCATGCTTAAACTATCTATGTTAGTGATCTAGGGAAATGGCTGAGGCCCATCAGGCAGTGGGCTTCGAGTTCACTGTGCACCCGGACGGTGTGGATGTGAAGCTGAGCAAGGAGGTCCTCAAAAACATCTACCTGTCTTCACTCACTGCTTGGAGGAAGAAAGCCATTAAGCTGAAGGTAGAAACACAATTTCAGCATATGTGTCTATGTTTAAAACATTTGCAGTAAGTCAAAAATGATTGTAATAAGTGATTAAGTTCAGTGTTTAAAATCACTAATGGCCATCTTTTTTTTTTATTATTGAATGTAGATAAAAACAGAAAACATATTAAATCATTTACATTTTATACAGAATGGTATACTGACTGAAGTTTACCCAGCCAGTCCGTCCAGTTGGTTGATAGTTGTGATTGCCATGATGATGTCCTTGTACACTGGCACAGACCCCCCTCTAGGAATAATAGATACCATCAAGAAAAACCTGCCTTACCAGTCAGTATCATACACTCACTCATAAAATATTTAACTCATTCATTGCTGTTTTGAAAATATTCATTTTGTGTGTGTGTGTGTAGGTGTGTGTGTGTGTGTATGTGTGTGTGTCATCATTGTGTCAGTTGCTCCAAACTTGTCAGTCTTCACACTTCCGATGCAGCTGCTGCCATACTGACAGGTTTTTGTCTTTTCTGAGCAGACACTGTTTGTCAGCGCAGGCCAGAGCAGTTCTGAGCGCCATCCTGTTTGCCACGGCGTTATGGCTGTTCTTCATCCACGTCATACGGTTCTCTCTAAAGATTCTTCTTTCCTACCACGGATGGATTTTCGAATCCCATGGGAAGATGAGGACATCTACAAAAGTGTGGCTGGTGGGTTTGCTTCAAGTCAAGTCAAGTTTATTTGTACACATCAACAATAAGGAAGTTGCTTTACCTCATAAAAACACAACAAATACAAAGTCACAGGACACACAGTGAACAATTGAAGCATTGCATCAATAAAAGTCTCTGTTGCTTTTTAGGGGATAGCTCCCCTATAAACCTTTATTGTTCAGGATTTTTGTTAGTGAATTTCACTTACACAGTCTGAGTCTTTCTTTCACTATTTGTGTCACTTTGGCCCATTCGGGGTAAAATTATAGCTAAGAAACCTGTCAGAGGAGCATAGGAATAAAGTATATGCATCGGATTAATTAGTTTTCATTCATTCATAATTAACATTTACCACCCAGAGACTGGTAAAGATGCTCTCTGGACGAAGGCCCCTGCTCTACAGCTTCCAGGCTGCCTTACCCCGACTCCCCGTCCCTCGAGTGAAAGACACCATTGAGAAGGTTTGTAGAAGAAACACAAGTGGATTACAATTGAAAAAAAAAGTATTTGTCCACCATTACAATGTCCTTTTTTTAACAATCACCTGTTTACCACTCTGGATCTGGAAGTCCCAGAGG